TACCTTGTGGGCTTCCTCACACCTTCATTCTTTAGGGTGAAATGGCAGTGGATGTGTCTACATTCTAGAATTTTTTATGTAGAGGAATTGTAAATATTAAACATTAAATATTGGAGGTATCAACAACTCTTAAACACATCCACATGACATGTTTTTAATTAAAACATGGACCACACAGTCTGTACCATCTAATTTCTAGATGCTTAAAGATTGCTGGTTCATTTCCATATTGGCCCAAGCAAAACAGAAAGAGGAAGAGAAAGCTATGGTACAAAAGTACAATCTAATTTATTGCAGCACAAAGGGTTTTTGTATTCTCTGTGGATGTATCAATTAATACTTAATTTATGCCATGTCTCGTTCTAACACTGGGTGTGAAGTAGGAACCTGTGTTTCTGGATGTTCAGGACTCATGTTGTTACTGTCAATCACTGATTATGGCTACATTTCTGATGGTTTTCCTAATACTTCTGAGGAGATCCAGTATGGCCGTTCCCTGACTCCATCCCACCTAAATCCTCTTAGAAGCATCATGTTTTGTGACTACAGACATTCACCTTGACTTCATTGAGGTTTTTGAGCTGCGGTCCTGAGTCCTGCCTGGCTCTCCACTTCCTCCCTGTCTCTGGAAAAGGGGTGCATGGCATATTATGTGTGTGTGGCGGTTAGAGACATGGAGGGCAGTAATGAGAGGGTGGGACAGGACATTGAGCTGACTCTCTATGGAGTGTTACCCATTTCTATGGAATGAAGAGGCCCGAGTTATACAGGAGGAAAAAGGTTTTGGTTAGCGGATCCCATCCACTGCTCGGTGAGAAGAGTCCATTGTTGCTTCTGGAATGTGTGGCCTGACTTGGGTCACAGACGCAAGGACTAAACAGTCTCTCATTTCCTCTCCTATAATGCCGTTGATCCAAGAGTGTCCTGGGAGCTGGTCCTTTCCTGGACTCAGTGGCCCAGGGACAGGATTCTTTTGTTTTGGCCTGAGACATCATAGTGTTTGGTGTAGAACAATCATTTTCAAAACTCATGTTATTTTAAGCCATCAGACTTCGCTTTAGTGGTGATCTGAGGCAGATACTTTATACAACAAAATCCATCTCAGTGCTGTGGACATCTGGAGCTGATTGCATTGTACAGTGTTTAGCAGTGTCCCTGGCCTCTACCCATCAGATGTTACTCTCTTTCCCCAGATATGACCACCAAAAATGTCTCCAGACATGGTCAAATGTCTCCTGAGGGGCAAAGTCGTCTCCCCTTGAGAACTGCTGTGTTAAGACTCTAAAGTGGAGGCAGTTGATTTAAAAGAGGGGAGAAAAGGTGGGGTGCAGCTTTTCACCTTCTCTCCACCCCCCCACCTTGTCACTGATTGTAGCAGGAGCACCCAGATGGTGAACAGGGCAGCATGGGGGACTTCCACTGTGTTCTGCTGTGTTCTCAGCATGGCTGTGTTCCCAGCATGGCTCAGAGCTCTTCCTTCCTCCTCACCCCAGCTGGCAGGGTTTTTGGGAGACCTTTGGAGGGTTGAACTGGTTCAGCCTGAGGTCCCAGAACACAGCAATCAGTCACTGCCCTACACAGGATTCAAGCACCTGACCTTCCTTAAAAAATGCATAATTATCATTTTTCAAATGCTCCATGAAAACAACGCAGAAAAACTGTTAAGGAGGGACTTCATGTAATCAAATTAGGCAAAGTATCTATTAATTACCATTAACAAAAACAAACCAAGTCTCTTACTTTATCATATTTATTTATTATATTTTGGAGAGCCAACTTTTCCACTTAAACCCATGGTCTCCTAATAGAAGCCAGCGGAATTGCCATAACTGACCTCTCTGGTCTGGTACCAAGCAGTGAGTCATGGGAACACTTGGCAGGTGTCTGCCAATGGCATTCACAAATGTCAAGGCTGCACCTTCCCCATCCCATGCCTCCTGGGAACCTGCTGTCATGCAGCCATGGGTGCGTTCCTTGAACCTGTTTATAAATTTCTGTTTGAATAGTTTTCCTGGAGGTCATGATGTCAGGTTTCCTGCCCTTCCACCTTTCTGATGTGTTTCTTTCTTTCTTTTTTTAAAATCAACATTGGTCAAGAAATTACAGCTACCGTGGTACCATTTTTAGCTTGAAAACTGAGAAAAGACTGCTCAGCCTCAGTAAAAGATGAGGAAAAACACTCTACATGGCTAGTACTTCCTGATGACTTAAGTGTGCCCAGCCCTGCAAGGGCTCTTGGGAATCCTTTTTTTTTCTGTGGTATTGGGAACTGAACCCAGGCCCTTGTGCAAGCTAGGCAATTGCTCTACCACTGAACTATATCCCCAGCCTCGTAACAGCACTTAACCATACTCTCTCCCTTTTCATGTCATTCTTATGAGGCAGGTATTTTATCACCTTTATTTGACAGTTAAGAAAACAGAGGCACATGCAGACAAAGTATCCTGGACAGGATCTTGTGGGGCTGGGACAAGCATCATGGCAGCTTGGTTGTAGGGGTCAGCAACCTTTCTCTGTAAAGGGCCAGAGAGTAAATATTTCAGACTGTGGGGACCCACTTGTTTTTGTAGCCAATGATTTGACTCTGCCATTGTTCTTTCAAGTAGCCATGGATTATTGTGAATGAGCAGATATGAACATGTATATTTGAATTTCATCTAATTTTCACAGATCACAAAATAGGATTCTTCTTTTGACTTTAAAAAAAAAAATACGAAAGTGAATCTTAGGTCGAGGGCTGTCCAAGAGCAGACAGTAGGCTAGCTTTGGCTCTAGGCTGTAGTTTATCAAACACTGTTCTAGAGCCCTGACTTCTAACCACACTGTTGTACTGTGGCTATTAAAAATGCCAGTCCCTGGTTTAGGAAAACTCAGACCCAACCAAGGCAGTGGGAGTCATTTTTTATTTATCGAGGATTGTCCCTCAAGAGTTCATTCCTTTCCCTGATACCTCTCAGTGTGTGTCTAAATTCAGATTGTAAGGACAGGACACGAGGGCTGAAATGGGGGAAATTTTAGACTAAAAAATGATTGGCAGCTCAACCATCACAAAAATGCATTTATGGAATGCTAATGTGGACTGAGAAAAATGATTTTGTTTGTTTAAACAATTTGATTGACAGCCATTTCTTGGGAGCGAATTCATGTGAACGAATGGTACAGTGTACAAACACTGGGATCTGCTTGGTAATTTACATGGCCCTTGGCCCAGGAATACACTGGGGGACTTAGTGGCAGGGGTAGTCCTTCCCTTCCTGGTCCCCTTCTGCATCTAAAGTATTGCCGGGGTCCCTGCCTTGGTGGGACTAGACTAAGAAAACTGCCCTGGAGTTGTGAGGCTTCCTTGGATAAGTTTTGGGAGTTGGAATCCAACACCAGCCTGGCCACCTGGTCCATGTCCCTAGCAGATGCCAATGTCTCTGGCTCCTCAGCAGGGTCTCTGGGAGAATGTGGTACAAAACGGGCTCTCGGCATACCTTGTCACTGTGCAGCTCTGAAATGCTTCCAGAAGCCTGGGCAGCTGCAGCCTGCTGCCTTCTTGGCTCTGGCTGGACTTGGTGGCAGATGGCAGAGCCACGGGTATGGTGGGGCCAGGGAGGAGATGTCTGGGGAAGGTGGCTGTCACTTTTCTGGACAGAGCATGCCTTAGGTAGCTGTGTCCCAGGGTGATCTGTCACCCACCTGCACTGTTCACTGAGATGCTCCTGAGATCTTGTGGGGACAGATCAGTGATTCAGATCCCTGGCTCTGGACAGGGTGAGGTCTTTTGGTTACCCATAGGACAGCAGGCATGTATGGGTATTCATTTTTCACACAGCTTTAGAGTAAGAAAGGGTCTTGGTGATCAGCAATGCAATGGTTTTCAACCTGGGAAGCCTGAAATCAGTAATGAGGGATGTTTTCCCCTGGTGTTTGTCAATATCAAGGAACTAACAGATCAAACCTGTACCCATGACAAGCCTTCTCATGCTAACAATGGTCGAGTTTCTTTGCTTTGGGCTGGAATTTTTATGCACAGAGCCAGTTAGCACTGGTTTGTGTCTGTTGATAAAAAGCTTTGGTTAACAATGATTTATATCTCTGATTAATAAATCTGAGAAAATGAATTAATTATTACTTAATAAATGTGGTGTACTTGCTAGACACAAACCTCCTTAAATACATGGTCTCCTGGGAGAAAGCTCTAAAAGAGATCTTTGTGAAGATCTTTGAAAAGAGGGAGAAATTGCTGATCTTGTGTAATCCTCTCCTGTACAAAGGAAGAAACGAGAGATAGCCAGAGAGGTTAAAGAACTTGCTGGAAGCCACTGCTCACTCAAGGCTCAGAGATGAAGCTAGCCTTTGGCTCCTAGAGTGCCCACCTCACACTTTTTCCCCAATACCATGATGTCTTATGGTCCTTAGGAAGCCCCCTCCTCTCTGGAATCAGCTCTGCCAGTCAAGCCATTGGTTTTCTTGAGCTGCTGGATGGATTGGGCTTGTGATCACCCAAACAGGTCTGTCAGTTTCTGGAGCTCATTGGATGCCCAAGGCAGGCATGTGCTTTTTCTCCTTGATTTTGCTCTTTAGCAGCCATATCCACAGGCAATCCACATCCTCCTTTTTTAAACCTTGTCATTTATATTGTCTTTATAGGCAATATAAATGGGAAAAGAGCCTGCCCTTAGTAAATCCTAAATGGCAACAAGAAAGAAAGGAAACAGGGGAACTGAGTCAAGAATGCAGGTGGGGAGATTGGCCTTTAAGTCTTGGAGCTGAGGGGGGACACTAAATGCTATATCCATGAGCCAGGCATGTGAACCCATGAACCTACTTCATTCTCCCAAGACATCCCACCATGCAGAGGAAGAAACTGAAGATCAGGAAGAGTTGGTGACTTGACAGAAGGCTAGGCTCACATTTGACTGGCTCAGGGTTCAAGTTCAGGGCTGTCTGTAAAACCAGCACCCTTCTTGTGGCTCTCAGTGACTTGACATTGCCTCTCCTCCCACAGACACATAGAGAACTGGCGCGGCCTGCACACGCTCAACGCTGTGGACATGGAGCTCTATACTGGACTCCAGAAGCTGTGAGTGTGCCAGGGTATAGTGGAGCTTCTCACTGTGGAAGGGATGGGAAGTCACTTGTCCCCCCTTGTGGGTCTTCTTTGGGGAAGGTTGGCACCACGCTTGTAGGAGATGTCAGGGACCATAACCTCACCTTCACACTTCACCTTAGCCCAGAGAGGGGAGGGGGTTGCATGGCCACACCCTGAAGTTAGGGTTTCAAGTCAAGCTCTGTACCCACGCCTGCCGAGCTACTGTTCTTTCTTTGGCCTTGTGTTTGACACAAGACCCCATCCCCAGTGCTAGATTTCCAGCCACCTTCTTGGTAGACTTTGGTGCTCATGGCGGTGGGGAATCTGGGCTGGGGAGGGTGGGAAGGCACAAACTGGGCTACGGACCTCTTGTTGTTGGACCAGCAGGAATCCTCACTGTCACCAGCTAGCCAGGTTAGGTAGAGGGCAGCTGCCAACACTGCCTATTCACATGCTACCCCTCACCTAGGTCCCTGAGGGCAGTGGGTCCAGATGCTTCTCACAGAGCTGTAGACCATTGATGGGAGGTGGGAGGGCTGCCTCCTGCCAGCCCCAACCACCAGGGGCCCTGCTGACCATCTTTTCCTCTCTGCCCAGGACCATCAAGAATTCTGGACTCCGGAGCATTCAGCCCAGGGCCTTCGCCAAGAACCCCCATTTGCGCTATATGTGAGTAGAGCCTGGCTGCAGGGAGTTGGGGGGTGCACACGGGGAGATGGTGCTCAACCATTAGTGACTTGGCCACTCGGTGCCCTTGGGCGAGTCCTTAACTTTAAGGGCTGGGCCTCTTAAAATGAGGATTTAGAGTTCATGATTTCTAAGCTTTCATCAGAAGGAAAAGTATGGGAGCACGACGGAGAAGGGAGAGTTTCTTAACACCCCAAGTCTGTGCACTTTTCATGAAGAAATTTGCAGTTTTATGGGAATGTAAGTAATAGGGAATTCTACTCACTTGTAAAATGAATACTCCTCTGAGATGGGCAAGTCTGTAGGTGTGTATATGTGTTGAGGATGGTGATTGGAGGAAGAAGAAGAGCAAAATTAGACCAAGTGTTGTGTCTACATAGATTCTAGGTCAATAGAGAAGAGCTCAGAGAAGTGGAGCCACCTGTATAAGGCCACACAGCTTTATTTGGGACAAGCTGGAGGTCACATGGCTTTCTGTTCGTGCCTCGCCCATGCTATCTCTCCCTCCTCTGGATGTCTGATGGGTAGAATGGCTTTAGACATTGGCTCTGGTTAGACCTCAGGGGTAGGCTCATAAGAGCTTGATGCTTCTTCTCTAAGCCTGCGTGGGATTCAGTGAGAGAGAAGGCAGGCATGATGGGTGAACTGTCAGGGGACTGCTAATCCCCCACGTCCACAGGGGGTGCTTGTTCTCTGGTCAGCTCTTTCTTAAGCACAGTGGTCTTCTGGAAGTTCAATGGCATGTTTCCAAAGAGCATTGACTCTGCAGGAGACAGTGGGGTGTGGTCTACTGCATTTGGGGAGAAAATGGTCTTTCCTTTGTCACTGGAGAATTTTACTGATAGTTGTCATTTACTATTGGAAGGGCGGCAAGGCTGGCTAGAAAGCTCTTATGAAGAGGCAGCGCTTCAAAGGGAAGCTGTTGGAAAGTGGAGGGTAAGGACTTGTGACCAAAGGGGAGATATCCTAGAGAATTGCAGTGGTGGGTGGTTTCTCTTCCCGAGGGCCTGGCCTTACCTTTGGACCTCCGTGTGTTTTCCCAAGCACATAGTGAGTGCTTGGTAAGTACTCGTTTATCAGTATGGCTGCCTCTGCTTTGTGCTGAATTTTTCTTTCCTCCCTCTGGAAATAGCAAGCTTTCAGGTCATTTCTCAGGGCCAGATATATTAGTGGCTGGGGACTGGGGACTGAGATCTCCCTTTCAACTGTCAATTCCGCCCTTGCCCCCTCGCCCTGGTTTAGGCTCTGTGATAAGATTCTCCTGATGTGTGTTCTTTGTAGCCATAGGCATAGCTGGGACCAGAAGAGGCCTTGGAGCAGATGTTCCAGGTGTTTATTTTATTGGGGATTTGAGTTTCATTGTAAACTTTCCCAAGGGAAAGAGCTTTTGACATCTGAGAAGTCTTCCTTTTCATAGTAACTTATATAGAGGTCACAAAGTCACATGCCCGTGGCAGACCAGGTGGGGACAACAGAGTCTGGGGACCTCGTGTTCCCTCTAAAGGTGTGCAGCCCATAAGCAGCTCCTGCTGACTGCTGCCATGTGGAGGTGGGAACCAGTGTAGCCAGACTTACTGATTTTTCAAAATGAACTGGTTATCCAGTGAGATTGCTCAAATTTTAAATGCCAGCAGCTAAGAACAAAGTCCTTTCAACTCCATGGGCCAAACAACACTGCTCTATGGGCAGACTATGGAATGTAGTGTGCCGATTTCAGTGTAGGGTTGTATTTGTGGGAGGGAAGCTGTCAGTGGGGGAGAAAGTCTGTCCTCTTTGAGAACAGCGTCTGGATGCTCCTGCCACAGAACCTTCTAGGGCTTTGCTCATCTGCAGTTCTCAGGAAGATATAGAAGATTCCAGAGTCTGCCATTTTCTATGCGCCACAGAAGCAGGAGCAGGGATGTATCTTGGGTTATGGGTGTCTCAGCAGTGGTTGTACCAGAATGTGTCTTTGGTTTGCCCTTGAGATCCCTGGAAGAAGGCTGCGACCCACTGTTGCTTTCAGGATAATTTGGGCTCTGTCATGGGGTGGGGAAGGCAGTGACAAAGGCTGTTGTTAGGACTCCCAAGATTGGCAAAGCACTGGGGACAGAGGGCTGTCTCGCATACAGCATGATGATGACAGTGAACCTGCCCGTGGTCTTGGCACTGATTTCCTGGACAAATTTGCTGCTCTTGTTGAAGTACTTGCTACTAGTTCCACCCGGAAGCAGGGATCACCATAGTCCACGCCCCCCCATCTGGATCTAGCTGTCCCCTAGGGATGTAATGATGCTCACCTGATGCAGAAGGTTAGCACCCAGTCAAGGGGCTCTAGCATACACATCAGGGACTCTAGAGAAGCCTGAGGGTCACAGAAAGCAGAGTCAATAGAACACGGCACAAGTTCTGGCTTCATCGTGGGTTTTATTTATTAAATTTTCCCTTTTATGAAGATACACCCCAAATCCTGACTGAGTGAGTTTCCCGGCAGCTTTGGGACATTTTCTCCTGGCAAATGGGCCAGGTTTCACTGCTCTCTCTCCCCACATCTTCTATTTCTGTCTTCTAAATGCATTTACAGTCTCAGGCCCCAGCCGAGCAATCACAAGATGGTCTCTTACTCCAACACTAATTGCCAAGCCTTGGCTTGGTGGCTCTCTCTCTCTCTCATGCTTTTTTTAGAGTGATGACTGAGAAGTATTCACTCTGTACAGGGAGTGATATCATTTCCCCTGTACCAAACTATCCCTCATCCCTAAGCTACCCCTACCATCAGCCAGTGTAATTCTTCCCCATGCCAGCTAATGAGCCAGCAATGTTAAGGCCAAGTTGTTTGCTAACAAGAAGGTTGGAGATCAGGATTTTTGGCCTCTTCAAGATTTATGAGTGACTGACCATTTCCTTTGGATTGCTTACATTTTTAAAAATCTTTTGCTGGGTGTGAAAAATGAGATACTGATTAATAGACATCCAGGAAAATCTTTTGGGAGAGACTGGAAGATTCTTGACACTCATATTTGGATTAGGGATCCTCAAAGATAAGGACTCCCCATGTTGGTCAGTGATTTGGTAATCTGGAAAGTGGGCGTGTTAATAGTGTCTATTCTAGGCATGGGAGATGGTAAAGATTAGATGATAGGTACCCCATACAGCACTTAGCCAAGTGCTCAGATAAAGTTCAACAATGACTGTTACTAATATGGTAGTGATAATTACTATTATTGGTGATGATGGTAATGGAACCAAAAAGGAGGGATAAGGTGGCCTGGGCTTTTTATTCTGGAGAAGCTGGATTTCTGTCCCCCCCCCAGTGCAGTCCATCTCTCTGGTGCCTGGCATAGGCACCAGGGTATCTTCAATCCGTGGTGTCTTTTCTTCTTGACTATGGAAGAAAGAACCCTGATTAATTTCTCTGCTGTCTCCATTTAGTTCTCCTTGCTCTAGACTCCAGGAGACCCCTCTGCTGATGCTGTTAGGACCTGAGCTATTACCATGGATGACTTTACAACTTTCTTCATTTCTCTATGATTACCATTTGAATCATCCACTGAATCCCCTGAGCCCGTCTCTTTAGCTGGCTCCTCTCTCTCTTTATGGGCTTTGTTTTCTCTGGTGTGGCTCATAGTCAGACTGGATCTCTACCATCTGGGGTCCCCATAAGTAATGTAGACACCTGTCTGTGGACCTCCAGTGATGGTACTTCCTTTCATCTTAGAGCACCTCATGGTTTTCAGAGTGCTTTCTTACACATATCTCACCGAATTCTCATAACCATGCTGAGAGAGGAGATGGTAAGGACCCTTATTTTATAGCCCAGGAGATGGGCATAGAGGAGATTTTATTGGTAAGTAGCAGTCTTCTGATTCTCTTGTTAGGAATTTTCCTAGTGCATCCAGAAGCAAGCAAGCAAGCAAACAAACAAACCAAAACCAAAAAATCAAACCAAAACAACAATACAAAAAACAAACCCTGAGATGTTTAGAAAATTGCATTAAAAATACTGGTCTCAGGACTATAAAATAGGTACAGTGTGTGTGTGTGTGGGGGGGGTACTTGTGGAAGAGGGAGGGTGAATGAAGGAGATGAAGGCGAGGGAATATGGTTGGTGGACTTCATATGCATATAACGAGAAATCTCTTGCAGTTGCTTTAAGTGAGTGGGGAGAGGTTGTGGAGGGGAGATAGTAGGGGCAAGCTAACCAATATACAATGTAATTTGGAATTGTTGCAATGAATCCTCTTTGTACAACAAACATACTCTAATAAAAATGAAGTAAAAAGAAAAAAAATACCAGTCTCTAAAGAGAAGAGGGAAAGGCTAACACTGACTGAGAACTTACTACATGCTAAGGACTGGATGCAATGCTTTTGCAAATATGAGCTCACTTAACTCTCCATAGTAACTTAAGCGAGGATTCCCCAGTTTGTAGATGACAACATTGAGGCTCAGAAGTCATCACTGAGTTCTCCTTAGTCATACTGTGTGCTAGTGGAATAGTCAGGATATGAACTCTGATCCCTCCAACTCTGAAGTCCACATACTTTTCATCCCAGAAGTGTTTTGTCTCTGGTTTTCACAGCAAGAGCTTCTTTTGGGCGGGGTGGGGGTATCTTTAAAGTTTTTTTAGAAAGCTGCTATTTCTCCATGGAGATTTAGCACCATTCGTCCACAAAGCGCTCTGTTGAGAAAGCTCTGTTTAGTTTCTTTTCCTATTCAGGTCAAATTCTATGACAACAGTTACACTGCAGACTGAGTATCTTCATTATGAAAGATTTCTTAGCATTAGCCTATGGCCTACTTATTTCTAAGAATATTTAATGTAAGATTCCAGCAAGCCCAAATAACTTATTTAATCCCTTGGAGTTGGTTGTGGTGGGATCTCTCTCTTGTGTTCAGTTACTTGCTCTTTTCGAAAAAGCTTAGGGTTTGTCAGACTAAGCTATTCCTCACTCTGTAAATAGACACTTGATCTTCAGCTGGGAAAGCCAGCTCCCAGCTGC